GCACACAAACATAACAGATAATGACATACCAGATAATTATCACAAAGACAATCATCTAACAAACAACTCCTACTAGTGGGCCGGCATTGTGGCCTTAGACCCACTTCTACTGGAAGGTAACTCACCTCACACTGCTGAAGTCCCGCATACCAAACCCTGGCTACTGGATGACAGCTTCCCGAACTATCAATCATCAAAGTAACACCCAATCAGCAATTGGGTTCCAACATATACCCATAAGTCCATGCTTGGGGTAAAAGACTGTTTTACCCCTATCTTAGCTTGATTCAAGCCCAAGGCCAATCCAAAGGCCCAAAAGTCAACTATGAGTCAAAGCCCAACATATGGCCCACTTTTCCAAATTGGGCCCAACCTTTTACATGGTCTTATTCTAAGGCCCAATCATTTAGTCTAGTCTAAGCATTTGGCATTTCTAATGGCCCAATATATCATAATCATAAAGGCCCAATTATGGCCCACCTATGGCCCAATTTTCCAAATTGGGCCCAAAACATCACATGGGCCTTACCCTAAAGCCCATCCAATTATTCTAGTCCATATGATTATTCTTGAATTGCCCATTATTGGCCCAATCACCAAAGCCCAATAGGAAGGCCCAACTTAAGGCCCAAGCAAGATTTGGGTTTTCACATAAAATGACGATTAGGGTTAAGTGTTTCTCACTTAACCCATTAAGGACTTAATCCATTAAGTCCATCACTCTACTAGATAAATCATATGGTGTGATTGTGTGTAATTCACAATTCCATTCCAATGGTCCAAAATGCGGGTCCCGATAAGTCCAAACCAATATATCCAAAATTAGGGTTTCCAACCCAATCCCAACCCAATAGGCCCAAAAGCTAAGTCCTTAGATCCATTAGGGTTTCATTAAGCCCATTACGGTTTCGCTAGTCGGGCACCACCCCACTACCACCTCGGGCAGTGGTGGTTAACGGCGGCGGCCACCACCTCACGGTGGTGGTTATGGTTCTAGTCCATTTTGTCCAAGCATCCCAAAAGCAACTATACATAAGTAAAAGCACACCGCCACCCAACACGGCGGCTGGTGGCGGCAGCCACCACCTCACGGTGGTGGTTATGAGTTTTCTTTTCATTATACTAGCCACCAATTACAATTTACAACACAATCCTAATAACACACACACTCACTAACATAAACACACACACAAGCCACCCTTGTGGTGGCCGGCGGTGGTAGATGGTGGCAGCCATTACCTCACGGTGGTGGCGGTGGCTGTTCTCGTTTTCCGACCAAGCAAATTACACACAACACACACTCAACAGAAATGCACACACACACGTTATATGTTCACAAAACGACCCTAGCCACCCACCTGGTGGCGCACGGCTGCGACAACGGCTGTTTCACGATGGCAGCCACCACCTCACGGTGGTGGCGGTAGTTTCTTTTGGTTCCCAATCAAGCAGCAACACACACAGCAAGCCCTGCTTTGCAATTCTGGACGCAACCACCACTTGGTGGTGCATGACGATAGAAGCAGCTGTTCTAGCGGCCACATCGGTGGCTAACGGCGGCGGTTGGAGTCATCGAAACCACAACAGCAAAAGGAAGAGAAGGAGTCGCCCTCTCCGATGGAATGAATGCCACAGTAACCTCCTTATCGTCCAACTCCGATTCCTGGCTTCTCTTCTTGTTGGAAAGACAGCAGCGGCAACAACAAGACAGCAAGGTCCGACAACGGTGGTTGCTAATGGCGAGTGACGAAGCAGCAACGCCTGGAGGCTTCCCTCCACTCATTGTCGGTCTTCGATGTTGCCGATGACAAGGACGGATCGATGGCGCTTGGTGGCCGGAGAACGAACTAGGTCAATGGTGGTGGCGGCCGGAAGGGGTCGGAGGTATAAGGAGGGTGACGACTGGAGATGGTTTAGTTAGGGTTAGGGTTTGTATGGGTTATATACCCGAGCCCTACGAAACTTAATGCCATAATGTCAAAAATGGTCCCTCCGTCTCCCTTTTCTTTCAAAACAAATCCACAATTACCCGTTTAACCCCAGCCATCTAAAATCCCTTCAAATTAAGTCTGAAATTTACCCAATAGCCCCTGTCTTCATAATTATTTACAACCTGAATCCAGATTTTACACTTTTAACCCCCAATATCTAAAATTGTGACAATTAGCCCCTCGAGACCAACACCTTGCTATATAATTATTGATTTTAGGGCTACTATACATTCATTTATTTATTAATTAATTTATTTAATAAACGGGGTGTTACAATACCCGAGCCCTACGAAACTTAATGCCATAATGTCAAAAATGGTCCCTCCGTCTCCCTTTTCTTTCAAAACAAATCCACAATTTACCCTTTTAACCCCAGCCATCTAAAATCCCTTCAAATTAAGTCTGAAATTTACCCAATAGCCCCTGTCTTCATAATTATTTACAACCTGAATCCAGATTTTACACTTTTAACCCCCAATATCTAAAATTGTGACAATTAGCCCCTCGAGACCAACACCTTGCTATATAATTATTGATTTTAGGGCTACTATACATTCATTTATTTATTAATTAATTTATTTAATAAACGGGGTGTTACAATATCACTGAATATGAAACCACTTATTAGCTATGATCACTACTCAATTTCTTCTTATTATGTCCTTGCTCCTCATTTTTTTCTTTGACTTTGTTAGAAAAAACGATGACCTGATGTAAGAAGCCTAAGTAACATGCAAAACCGAACACCTAATGAATTCCCTTATGGGTTAATCATCCTCATATATCAAATCAAACTCATTTTATTCTTCAAATTTCAAAGAGATATGCAAGTGCTGCCGCATATTCAAATCACCTTTCGTTTTCAGTTGAAGAAGGGCCACATGGGTAACAAATCAGTTGTGAGTAAGTGAGTGAGAGAGAGATAGATAAAAAGAGCTTCTCCAAACAAACATGTAAGTAGATTTTGGAGTGTACGTGTTAACTTCTCCAAACAAACCTACAAATCTTGATTGCTTTGTAAACGGTTAATGCATATGGTATATGTACGTTTGTGAGCTTTTCCCGCATGGATATCTAAAAGGTTAGTTCCAATTGCTATGTTTTTTTGGTTTTCGTATTAGAGTTACTCATGGGTAATTCTTTTCTAATTCATAATCGAAAAATTTGTGGGTTTACAGTGAATTTGTCAGAAAGCGAATCAATCTCTTAAAGGAAAACATGCTAAAAAACAATATGCAGGATTTTGAAAATCGATGATTTTGAAGACACAATCATACATATATGATTTTGAAGATACAAGTGTTCATGGATGAACACACACTTGGAAAATTATAGGTTTTGGAATATGATTTATGTTGGGGTAAATTATGATGAAGGTGGGTATACAATGATGAAATTGTGTGTGCATGTGTGTGCAAATTTGCAGGTCTTAAAACCGCTCCCATTCGCTCTCGTTTTGTGACTGCAATTCATACAAGGAAAAACAAAGGTTTTTTTATTTTATTTTATTTTATTTTATTATGGTAGCCATGCCAACGAAGGACAAGGTTAGGTGTGTTTTCTTACTTGGCATCCTAGTCATTTAAACACTACTATATTGTCTTCCGACAATACAATGCTAACTCGATAAGTGAAGGGTTACTTGATTAAAAGTATTTATGACAAAAACTTCCTAACTGTTAGACTTTACCATACATAAATTCTTATTTAAGATACAACCGTCAATTTTTTGACAAACTCTTAGGTTACATTTAGTTGTGGAAAAATGAGTCGTTTTCCGGAAAGTTTTTCCAAGAAAAATAAGATTTTGAAAACGCGTTTAGTTCGTCTATTTTTCTAAATTTTTCACAGAAAATGAAAATTTTCCGTTTTTTACAATTACAAAGAAGTTGGAAATTTTTGGAAAACTGATAATCATTGTTTTCCACATTTTTCTAATTCCAAATTTTTTCTAAAATATAAACACACGTCCACTCCCACCATCCACATCTACCTACCCCCACCTTAACACCCCCAACCCACCACACCCCTACCTACCCACACCCACCTACACCTACCCACTCCCAAGTGCACCCCACCCCACCCCTACCCCACCCACACCCCTACCCCCCCCCACACCCATCCCCCCCCCCCCCCCCCCCCACACCCCCACACACACAACACCCCCCCCCCACGAACACACACATACATACCACACACACACAACCCACACCTACGCCCACCCCACCTCGACCAACACACCTACCCCACCCCACAAACACACACACCCACCCCCACAAACACACACACACCCACACCCACAAACACACACAAACACACCCACCCACCCAATACCACTACCACAATCACCGACCTACCACCACCATCACCACCACTGCCATAATTGCCGCCGCCACCACCACCACCACCGTCGCCCCGCTACCGCCGCCTCCGTCACTCTCACCCTACCACCGCTACCGTTTTCTAAAAATGAAAACCGATAGAAAAATACACATCTAAACACGTTTTTCTAATTTTCTAAAACTGAAAATGAAAAATGAATAAGTTTTTTTAATTAAACGCGTTTTCTAAATTTTCCAATGAAAAATGAAAACAAAAATTGAAAAGGGAAAACGAAAAACGGAAAATTTAAATTGTTTTTCAGTAACTAAACACAGCATTAGGCTTTTGTGTCAATCTCTATTTTTAAAAAAATAGACAATTTCTTAAATGCCACATCATTATTGTTGCATGATATGTGAATAATTAAAATTAAAATTACTTTATTCAAATAATATAATTTGATTAAATAATTAATAGATATTTTTATAACGAATATCCAAAATGATCCTATATTGACAAAACAATGATTATAATTTACAAATTAATATAATTTCATTAATACAAAAAAGACATAAAATGTACCATTGATTATAAATCATTAAATCAATACCGAGTTGTGAATTTGATGTGGACCCGACAATTGTGGAGAAGTGGATCACGGCTTACAAATTCTTTAGCCATTTTTATGTCTGTTTTGCTAAAAGTTTAAAACTTTAAAATAAGATTGCAAGTAGGGAAGTCCAACTATTAGATTCCAGTTCCATTGGAATCACCAACACCATAAGTCCATACCCTTCTCTCCATTCCTATCTGCAAAGAACGCTGGAAAACTCTTCTAAAATGCCGGAATCAGAAGAAGAAAACCGGTCGAGTAATTTTTTTATAAGGGGGCCACCGGCGACGGAAGAGTTACCGGTGATGATGACCATGGATCTCGACCTTGATGGTTCCTGGACTTTCGATCAGATCTTCTCGTCGGACCCTTCGCCGTCGTTTATTCTATCAGCAACCGAACAATCTTTCTCTCCTCTGTGGGCGTTTTCCGATGACAATAACAACAACCTCAACGACGGTGACGATAAGCCCGCCGGAAATGCCACGTTGACCTCTTCCGGTGCTGCTCACCGACTTCTTCCAGGTAAGTTTGAGTTAATTTGTGCATTTTTAAGTAAGTTTATATATGGGTTTTGCTTAAAATTGGATTTTGTTTCGATTTTATATGACCATGGATTATTGCTTAGGTATTAAGATTGTAGCTAATAAATTTGAATTCATCACTAACGGATAAACATAAAGGGATTTTGGCCATTCATTCCACATCTGGTAAGAGAATAAGTACCACATAAATCTCCTTGAATATAGGAACCCAATCAAGTATGTCAACAAAAGTTTTAAACGTGTTTTTAAATAGTTTAATGTAGTTTTTGATGAATCGGAAGTCGAACATGAATCAAAACCTTATCTAGTAAAGATGAATATCAGTTATATATGTTTCGTTCATATCACTGAAAGCCGCTCAATTATTTAGATTAATTAAGACTCCATTTGTGTTTACCCATTATTCTCAAGTCTTAGACATTTCACATTTCTTATTTCTATCATACTTAGATTAAGACTCCATTTCTATTCACTGATTTCGATCTTGTGGGTCCCATATACACAATCTCAGAAAGAAACTGAAGATGTGATTATGGGTTTATTTACCTGATGCAAGGAGAATAATAAAGATGGGGTTCACAATATGAAAGATTGAGATTTTTTTTTATAAAGAAAATGATGTAAAAAATAGACACCTTTTTGTTAGTGTTTGACGCATAAATGGTAACTTTTATAGTGTTCAAGAGCATGGTATATTTTGTTTTATATTGAAACTGGAATCTCATTTCCAAAGTTAAAGGGGTTAAATTCTTTGATTCTGATTCCCAGCTATGGAATTGGAAGATTTGGAATATAAATTGAGCTTTCTTGGATATGATCATATGTAGTATGAATTCAAGTATATAATAAAAATTAATGAATAACATATTGTTATGAAAAAGAATGTAACTTTTTTTTTTTTTTTTTTTTTTTTTTTTTTTTTTTTTTTTTTCTTTTGAAGTGGATACAGATAACCCTGATCAAGTAACAAGAAAACCATCAAACAATGAGATAAAAAGGAGGCTACCATTACCCATTTTGGAGGTGAACCCATCAGAATATCAAGATGCAACATGCATAATCAAAGAAAGAATGACAATGGCACTTCGATACTTCATAGAACTTGGTGAAAAACATGTTCTTGCTCAAGTATGGGCACCTGTGAAAAACCGGGGTCGAAATGTGTTGACCACATCTGGTCAACCCTTTGTTCTTGACCCAAATTGCACGGGTCTTCATCAATACAGAATGGCTTCTTTAATGTATGTGTTCTCTCTTGATGGTGAAACTGATGAAGTTCTTGGACTTCCTGCTCGTGTTTTTAGACATAAGCTTCCAGAATGGACTCCAAATGTGCAGTATTATTCAGACAAAGAATATCAAAGGCTTAATCATGCTTTGAATTATAATGTTCGTGGGACTTTGGCTTTGCCTGTTTTTGAACCTTCTGGGCAATCTTGTGTTGGTGTTCTTGAGTTGATATTGACTTCACAGAAGATAAATTATGCCCCTGAGGTTGATAAAGTCTGCAAAGCACTCGAGGTATGAATGTGTTTTGAAAAATTGCACACCATCAAAATCAATGCTTGTAATGCATAATCCATGATCCCTAAGGTGGTGTTTGGTATGAAAGAATTGAAGAAGGAATGGAATGGTTTATTCCATTGGAAAACAAAACATTCCAATGGAATGAAAAAAAGGTGGTTGGTTTGTGTGATGGAATGGAATGGACCATTCTTGAAGGAATCTAATTCCTTCCACTTTGTTACCATCTTTTTCACATTCTAATAACAAAATGACCACCTATTTTGGCAATCGGTCAATTCTGAAATTCCAATAAAAATTATGAAATTACTTTTACTGCCAAAAAATTTCTCAATATATATATATATATATATATATATATATATATATATATTTTTAAAAAAGTTTTTAGTGGTGGGACCATTCATAAAGCAATTTTGCAATTCACAATTGACCTCATTATGAAATTGATGTTCATATTATTAAAAAGTCAAAAAGATGGTCAATTGGTCAAATGAGACCACCCGGTTTTGATGATTTTGTTTTTACTCTCTATTTTTTTTTTCATTCCATCATTGAATGGAATGAAAAAATTGTAATATAACCCTCATTTGTTTATAATTTTTTTTAATGATACAATTCTTTTTTAAGAATTTCATGATTTTAATTAACTTACAATTTTATTTTTAAAAAAATAACTGGAATTTATTTTTTTGTTATAATCTCTTTTGGGTTTTATTGAGATTTTATTATTTTAAACTTTTAGTTTTGTAAATAATAAATCATATAATTAAATACAGTTAAGTTAAATATAGAATACTTTTAAAACTATACCTTGTATCTACATATAATACAAAGCATTTGTATATGAAAATTCATTCCATTTCGATGGGCTAACCAAACATGATCATGGAATGTAATGACTCATTCCATTCCATTTATTCATCATTCCATTCCATCCAACCAAACTGACCCAAAATCCATAAATTACTAAACTTTCCTTTTATTGCAGGCGGTGAATTTGAAAAGTTCAGATATATTGGATCCTCCGAATACGCAGGCAAGCAGTAAGATGAAATAATAATAATATATTTCTATTTTCTTTTATTTTATTTCCCTAATCTTTCCCTCTACATTTTTCTCAATCTCTACCTAGTTTTTCCTTTAACTCAGATTTGCAACGAAAGCCGACAACAAGCCCTAGCTGAAATCCTGGAGATATTAGCAGTCGTATGCGAGACTCATAATTTCCCATTAGCTCAAACGTGGGTCCCATGTAGGCATCGAAGTGTTCTAGCCTATGGTGGTGGATTCAAGAAAAGTTGCAGCAGTTTTGATGGAAGTTGTATGGATCAAGTATGCATGTCAACAACCGATGTCGCCTTTTATGTTGTTGATGCTCATATGTGGGGATTTCGTGAAGCGTGTGCTGAACATCATTTACAAAAGGGTCAAGGGGTAGCTGGAAGGGCGTTTGCTACTCGAAGTTCTTGTTTTTGTGAAAATATAACGCATTTTGGGAAAACCGAATATCCTTTGGTTCATTATGCGCGTATGTTTGGTTTAGTTGGATCTTTTGCAATTTGTTTGAGGAGTAGTCATACGGGTGATGATGATTATATCCTGGAGTTCTTTCTTCCTCCTAATGTGGTGGAGTTTAAAGATCAACAGAAAGTGTTGGGATCTTTGTTGACTTCTATGAAGCAGCATTTTAGGAGTCTTAAGGTCGCTTGTGGGGAAGAAATAGGGGAAGATGGTAGAATGGTTGAAATTATTAAAGCATGTGAAGAAGGCGATGTTCTTGATTCGGGGGTTCAGTCGATTCGATTATCGGAATCGTTAATATCAAATGGAGGCCCAGTGGGTTGTGTTGATGCTTTGGTGAGGCCCAATGCGTTGAATGGAAATTGTGGGAAATCAGAGAATGTGGAAATTACCAAAAAGTCCGAGAGAAAACGAGGGAAAGCTGAGAAATCGATTAGCTTGGAAGTCCTTCAGCAACACTTTGCAGGAAGTCTTAAAGATGCTGCAAAGAATCTTGGTGGTATGAAACTTTTTTTAAAAAAAATATTTTTGGGGAAATTTCACACCTTTGTTAACCTTCTTTAGTAGCACAAGGCTAGAAAGATGCTGAATTTAAATTATATAAAACAAGTTAACTTATCTAGTTTTCAACTTTAAAATTCTTCCGAAATCTTTGAGTTTTCTAGAAAAAGAAAACAACCCATTTACAAGTATGTCAAATACTACCGGTATAACAACATGGATGTTAAATTCTTAGCAATATTTGTATGAAATCAAGATTTTGAAAGTAGTAAGTTTGACCTGAAAAAGTCAATGAGCAAAGAGTAATGTGTTATTAATCAAGATTGTGTTATTGATTTTGCAGTTTGTCCCACTACAATGAAAAGAATATGCAGACAACATGGGATTTCAAGGTGGCCTTCAAGAAAGATCAACAAAGTCAATCGTTCACTTACAAAGCTAAAACGGGTGATTGAATCAGTTCAAGGAGGTGAAGGAACATTCACCATTCCTTCTTTAGCAACCACCCCACTCCCCATTGGTGTTGACTCCACATCATGGCCCACAGCTCCAAACGGGTCACCAACTACCCAAAACGGGTCACCCGGGTCAAAACCATCTCCAAAGAACGATCAAGGTCAAACCCATCAAACATCGGGCAGCAGAGAAGCAAGCACGGGCAGCCCGACTTCCCACAGGTCATGTCAAGGTAACCCTTTTCTCAAAATCGAATCTTTCCTCATAAAATCATGATTAAACAGTTTCTCATAATCAGAAATGTGTGGGAATAGCAGAAAGTCAACTGTTTGAAGTCAAAGCACCGAATCTTGAAGGGCTTATAGCACCACAAACTGAAGAACCATTTAGAGGAATGCTAATTGAGGATGCTGGAAGCTCACATGATCTCACGAATCTTTGTCAACCCTCTGAGGTTCTTGAAAAGGTACAAGAAGTTAGCCCAAAGGTACAACCTTTCACAGCAAGAACAGAAATGAAAACAATAACAATAAAGGCGACTTATAGAGAAGATATAATTAGGTTTCGTGTGGGTGCAAATTCGGGTATAGTGACATTGAAAGAAGAAGTTGGAAAGAGGTTGAAGTTGGATGTGGGTACTTTTGATATCAAGTATCTTGATGATGATCATGAATGGGTTCTTATAGTATGTGATGCAGATTTGCAAGAATGTGTGGAGTTGTCAATGTCATCAGGGTGCAACATAATCAGGCTTTTAGTTCATGATTTGTCGACTAATCATGGGAGCTCATGTGAGAGTTCGGGTTAATTAATGATAATTATGAGTACAAGTTCAGGTGATCAACATTTCAATCCATTAGCCATTACCATTGTGTTTATAAATGATCAACTTGTGAAAATGCAAAAAAGATGGTTGAAAATAGGGGGAGAGACACTCCTGTGGGTGTTTTAATCACGTTTTTGGCCAAGTGTAATGTTGATTTTTTTTGAGTATGTTAGTTGTTTGAAAGTGTTGAAATGTTAGGGTTAGGGTTAAGTTGTAGATTTATGGGGGTCATTTAGCAAGGTGATCGAATTTTAGGGAGGAATTTTCCCATATTCTTTGTTGTATAAGAAGATAGCATTAAATGATGGTTAGAAATGTTAATTGTATATTGGTTGCTTTTTTCTTTTCTTTGTGAGCTAGCTACATTTTTGGTCCATGTCTTCATGTAATCTTTTTCTTAAAAAAACTAACGGCTCTTTTTGTCCCTATTTTATTAGCTCATTATGTTTTCTTCCCAAACCAACATCATTTGCTTTTGCAGCCCTAAAATGACTTTTTTATGATTTTTTTATTAATATTTCTCATCCGTACACTTTTTTTTTCTCAATCCAACGGTTAATTACATACAAAACCTCAGTATGGACAGTGTCTACTAGAAAATGCTCCAATATGTTGCCACTTCATAAACATTGAAAGGACCATACAACCTAGGATCTGAGAGGAAGATATTTATTTTATTAACATATGTTTTAACGGGCTTACAAAGAAAACTAACATGAAGAATGAGACATAATCTACTTGGAAATGAGTTATTGGGGAAGATGGATGGCGACATTATCCTATTGAAGAGGTGTCACAACCCTATTATCCGACCTATCACTCGTGACTGTATCCATGAAATAATTTCTAAGTGCGGGTTGTTCCAATACTTAAATCTCCATTGAGTACGTGTGAGTGTTGGCGCAATCACTATGCTATGTCCAATCACTATGGTTAACCCACAAATACTCATACAATCTTGAATCACTACTTACTTCTAAGAGTATGACCCACCGTAGAGGTTTGAGTAAATTAATACTCGGGAAGTGAGTTCTAAACAAGCAAGAGCGAAACACAGTAATAAATTAACAAAAATAATAACATCACTAACATTTTATTAAATCTCCACAAAATAAACATCAGTTCAGTTACTATTCATACTGTTAAATGTTTCAAAAACTATCAAACTAAACAATTACACCATATCATCAACAAATCTAATGCCTATAGATCTAGTATGACTATCATGCTTGATCCTTGATAATGGCTTCGTGAACAGATCTGTTGGATTTCCTCTAATGATACTTTGTTCACGACAATGTCTCCATCCTCGACTCGATGTCTTACATAATGGAATTTCCTAAGTATATGCCTTGAGATACCATGGTCCTTGGGTTCTTTAGTCAGCGCAACTGCACCCTCGTTGTCACAAAAGATTTCCAAAGGATCCTTGATGCTCGGAATGACACTAGGATCATCAATAAAATTCTTCAACCATGTAGCTTCTTTCGCAGCCTCACTAGTCGATATATACTCTGACTCGTACGTAGAGTCTGCCACTGTCGTCTGCTTGGAACTTTTCCAAGTGACTGCTCCTCCATTAAGCAAAAATATTCATCCTGATTGCGAACATGAGTTATCTCTATCAGTCTGGAAACTTGCATATGTATAACCTGTAACTCTCAACTCATCTTTACCCCCATATACCAAGAACATGTCCTTTGTTCTTCTTAGGTATTTCAAAATGTTCTTTATTGCTGCCCATTGACTGTCGCATGGGTTGTCTTGAAAACGACTCACCATGTTCATAGAAAATGAGACATCAAGTCGAGTACATGTCATGGGATACATGATCGATCTTATAGCGGAAACATATGGGACTCGACTCATTCTATACTGTTCATCACTAGAATTAGGACATTGAGTTTTACTCAATTTGGTGCCATGTTGCATAGGTAGAAAACCTTTCTTGGAGTCTTGCATCTTGACTCACTTCAAGATCTTATCCAAGTATGTACTCTGGCTCAGTCCTATTAGATGTTTCGATCTATCTCTATAGATCCTTATCCCAAGTATGTACGCAGCCTCTCCCATATCCTTCATAGCAAAACAACTCCTAAGCTACGTCTTAATACCTTGCAACATCGTGATATCGTTTCCTATAAAGAGTATGTCCTCCACATACAACACTAGGAAGACTACAATACTCCTACTAGCTTTAATATATATGCAGGACTTACCTCCACTTCTTGAAAATCTAAACTCTTTAACTTTTTCATCAAAACAAAGGTTCCAACTGCGAGACGCTTGTTTTAGTCCATATATGGACCTTTCAAGCTTATACAATTTATTTGGATATTTTAGATCTATGAAACCCTCTGGTTGTGCCATATACACTTCCTCTGCGAGTTTTCCATTAAGGAAAACGGTTTTCACATCCATTTTCCATACTTCATAATCATGAAAAGCTGCTATAGCAAGCAATATCCCAATAGACATGATCTTGGCTACTGGTGAGAAGGTTTTCTCATAATTAATCCCTTGAGTTTGAGTATAAACCTTTGCAACCAACCTAGCCTTGAATGTGTGCACATTCCCATCCATGTCGGTCTTCTTCTTGAAGATCAATTTCCACCCAACAGTTTTGATGTCAGGTGTGGGATCAACCAAACCCAAACTTGGTTATTATACATGGACTGAATCTCGCTCTCCATGCTTTCCATCCACTTGGCAACCTCAGGGCCTGCCATCGCTTCCTTATAGTTGGATGGCTCATCCATATTACCTGGTGTATGATCACTGATCAATACGTCTCCTTCTGTGGTCATATGGAAACCATAGAACCCAGGAGGAAGACAAACTCTATTGGATCTGCGAAAGGGAGGTGGAGATATATCATTTTGTTCAACAGGACGCTCTGCCTCAGTTTGAGGTTCCTCAAAAGGTTGTTGCACCTCATGTTGAGTGCTAGTGTCTACTAAAGGTTCTTCTTCACTTGACTCTAGAATCTCTTGTAGGTCAATATGGATCCTATTGTCCTCTTTGGAAATGAGATCCATCTCGAGGAAGAATCCCCTTCGAGCAACAAACACCTTGTTCTCAAAAGGCTTGTAGAACAAGTATCCAAAAGACTTTTGTGGATAACCAATGAGGTAACACTTCTTTGATCTGGGCTCTAGCTTATCATTCGCCTAGCGACGAACAAAATCCTCACAATCCCAAACTTTTATATGTGCTAGAGAAGGACGTGTCCCACTCCACATATCAGAGGGTGTTTTAGCAACCTTCTTAGTAGTTATGAGGTTTAGGATGTGGGCGGTTGTCTCTAAGGCATACCCCCAAAAAGATATTGAAGTGTATCTCGACTCATCATAGATCGAACCATATCTAATAACGTTCAATTTCTTCTCTCAGGCACACCATTCAAATGTGGTGTTATGGGAAGAAACAATTGTGAAACTATTCCATAATTCTTAAGATGATCGTAGAATTCGAGACTTAAATATTCTCCACCCCTATCAGATCGTAGCATCTTGATCTTTCTGCCTAATTGGTTCTCTGCTTCGTTTTGAAAATCTTTGAACACCTCAAAGGTTTCTGACTTGTGCTTGATAAGATAGATGTTTCTATTTCTACTAAAATCATCAGTAAAAGTCACAAAGTATCTTTCTCCATGTCTTGTGGCAGATTTGAATGGTCCACAAATGTCTGTGTGGATGTGATCCAACAAATCCTTGCCTCTTTCACAGTGGCCCGTGAATAGCGCCTTTGTCATCTTGCCAAGTAAGCAAGATTCGCATACATCATCCGACTTGAGGTCAAATGATTCCAATATCCCATCCGATTGGAGCTTTGCGATGCGCTTCTTGTTTATTTGGCTAAGTCAACAATGCTACAAACATGGCTTATCTAATTCACTATAAGAAGAGCCAACATTCATTAACAGTTTATCAACTTCACTTACGCAAACAACACTTTCATACACACCTTTATAAGGACTAGATTTGAATATATAAGAACCATTCTTATAAACCAAAATGTCACCATTATCATTATCAAAAGAAAAACGACAACCATCCTTATAAAGTGCATGGAAAGAAATAATGTTTCGTGTCATATCAGGTGAAAAACAACAATTTAATAAACTAAGATAAACACTACCACCAAGCCTGAGCTCATAGTTACCAATCCTTGTAACATCTGACTTGTGCCTATTTCCCATGATCAGGTTGAGCTCACCATGCCTCAACTTCCTACTTTGTCTTAGTTCCTACATATCAGGGAAAATATGAGTACCACATCCTGTATAAAGAATCAAGAGTTAGAAGTAGATATGCTATGGAGTTCTATTATAAACATACCTGAGGTACCAACCACCTTGACTTTGCCCTTATTAAGGTCCTCCAGGTATTTAGGGCAACTATGTTTCCCGTGTCCCTTTGACTGGTAGTAAAAACAAACGACCTCATTTGGATTAGCAAAAGGAGCTATCTCAGCTTTGACCTTTCTTGTAAGGCCTTGGCCAGACGATCCAACCTTACCCTTTCCCTTTCCTTTAGGATGAGAAACCCTTTTCCTTTTAACAGAACCACGATCAATGGCCAAGATTGGAGCAGTAGGGTTGTAGTTGTTGGGTTTCTTCATGCTCGCCTCAACTGTCTTAAGCATACCATGCAACTCCATCAAGGTCTTATTGAGGTTTTTCATATTGAAGTTCAAGATGAACTGCAAATATGAACTACTAAGCGAGTTCAAGACCATGTCAATGGTCAAATCCTTAGGCAACTCAACACCTAGATTCCCAAGTTTGTCCATGTACGACTTCATCTTTTGGATGTGCGCACATACAAAGGCTCCCTCTTGCTGTTTACATGCCATGAGGAATTTTACGATCTTGAATTGTTCTTGCCTAGCTTGCTCTTGGAACATTTCTTCGAGCTACTGATTTATTTCAAAGGAA